CCGTGCCTGCTTCAAGTCTGGGCCCCCAAAGGTCTCGCTGTCAGGCTCTCCCCACTTTCCTATAATTCTGCAGCCCCAGCTCTGCTTCCTGGTATCTTTTCCCTCCGGTCTCCCCTCTCTAGTAGGTCTGCTCTTCCAGGGAGCCCTCCTGGACTGGCTAGGACCTCGCTGCTAAGTGTGGCCCACAGCCGCGCGGCAGGAGCACCCCTCGGGGGCTGGCGGAAACGCAGAAGCTCAGAGCCTGCGTTTGAACCCGATTCCAAGGGGCCACATGCACGTTACAGCTTGAGAATTACTGAGCGAGGTCCCTCTTGCTGTTCCAACCCCGACAAGATGGAGATTCTGGGAATCTGGGTCAGCGGGTCAGGCTGACTGGGGACAGAGGAGGGGGCGTCTCAAATTCTGTAAATAATGACACAGGTCTGCTCGGGCCCCATCCTGAATCCTCCTTCGACCGCAGCCTGCCCACCAGCCTCTCCTGCTGGCTGAAACCTGGACACACCAACTCCCCTGGGAGGCTGTCCCCGTCATGGGACCCTCTCAGCTGAGGCAGAGGCCCCCTCAGGCCATGCCTGGCTGGTCTGCCACTAACGTGCTCCAGGGGGATGTCTGCCTCGGGTCCCAGAATCTCCCTTCACCTGGGCTGCGGCAGACGGGCCCAGACTGGCTCCCTGCAGGGAGACAAGGTTGGGGCGGGGGACTCACGTCACCTCCTCCCTCTTTCTTGCTCTCTCTGCTCCCACGTGTGCGAGCACTTAAAGCTTCTGGGGGTCCTGAGTGAAGGACGCTAAGTGCTTAACCTCATTTAGAGTCTCCAAAGCTTAGACCTCCTTTGTCACTTAGCACCTAAGAACGTCCTGTGGGAATAACTTAGGGAAACGCTAATCTGATTCCTTTCTATACACACGCACACATGCACACACAATGCACACATGCAACAATGCACACACACGCACACATGCACACACACGCACACACACACACATGCACACACATATAGGCACACACACGCACACACACATATGCACATACACCAGTTATGAAGGCTTTCATGTGAGGCTCTGGTGGGTGGGAGGCTGACACTGGGGGAGCTTCTCCCCACCGCCCTCTGGACAGCGGCCGTGGGGTCGAGGCGACGTCGCCTTGCCCAGGCTCTGTGGGGCAGGTTGTCCTCACCAGCCTTTGTTTTGAGTCCCAAATGCGATGGTTCTCTCAAATCCACCAGCCTGGCCTGGAGCTGGCACCCCGGCTGATTGTAAAAGGGCGGAGGGAAGCGCCCTGTCTTGCCCACCTGGAGGGCGGGTGGCACCCTGGGCTTCTGCTGACGCTGTGGTTGGACGGAGGTGGAGCTGGCAGGGCCAGTCCTCATGCCTGACTTGCCAGCTGCATCGGCTGGGCCTCCCGCCTCAGGCAGACACTGAGGCGGGAGGCTGTGGGGTCCGGGCACCAACCCTGGGTACCCCCGCTCCTGCCCGGCTGGGAGCTGGGGCAGGCGGGGGCCGAGGTTCGGGCTCACACAGTCCCCGGAGGGCAGGTGGGAGTTGGCCTGACTGTGGGCAACTGCTGCCTACATGCAGCTAAAGGGGGGAAGAGTGGGAACCTGGGCCTCAGACCACGTTCAAATTCCAAGTCTGTCACCTACTAGCTGTGTGACCTTGAACAAGTTACTCAGCCTCTCTGAACCGTAGTTTCTTTTTTTTAAAAAATAAATTTATTTTATTTAATTTTGGCTGTGTTGGGTGTTCGTTGCTGCACGCGGGCTTTCTCTAGTTGAGGTGAGCGAGGGCTACTCTTTGTTGCGGTGCAGAGGCTTCTCATCACAGTGGCTTCTCTTGTTGCGGAGCGTGGGCTCTAGGCACGCGGGCTTTAGTAGTTGTGGCATGCGAGCTCAGTAGTTGTGGCTCGCGGGCTCTAGAGCTCAGGCTCAGTAGTTGTGCATAGGCTTAGTTGCTCCGCGGCATGTGGGATCTTCCCGGACCAGGGCTCGAACCCGTGTCCCCTGCATTGGCAGGCGGATTCTCAACCACTGCGCCACCAGGGAAGCCCTGAACCGTAGTTTCTTTATCTGCGAACTGGGAGTGGTCATGCCTACCTTGTGGCATCGATATAAAGATTTAGGTGATTGTGTGGTCATTGCTCTGTACGTCTACCTGTCCCCACGGCCCAGCTGTCCTCCAGGACAACTTCAGGCCCCAGAATGCAGGGATGCGAGGCACTAGGCTCGACCAGAACGACACACTAGGCTCACCGGGGGTCCCCTTGGTCATGGAGACCCAGGTGAAGTTTTCTTTCTGACAGAGGTGCAGAGGGTGGGATTTTAATGGCCTTGTGTGGAAGGGGTGGCATTTGTGGCCCAGAGATTCAGAACCACTTGATAAATGCCAAAGTGTTTTTTATTAATTCACCAGTCATGAAACTTCCAACTGGTTGGCTGAAGGGCGTGAAGTCCTTTCTTACATGGGTCCCTGCTGATCCGCCGTCAGGCAGCTCATTGGCGTTGACATGCGTCCCCGAGAGGGCTGACATGCTGGCCAGTGACATCAGTCCTCTGCTGAGCCAGAGGATGACCAGTCAGGCTGGGGGACACTTGCTGGGGTCACTGAGGCATAGTTTGCCCCGTGGCCTCGCTCTCATTAGCCCCATAGTCTAACCAAGCCGGCCCCAGACGGGGTGACCCTCACAGTATTTCTGGGATCCGAGCTTCCATGGATCAGAACTTTCTCTTCATCAGCACGTCGGCCCAGCAGCCCTGGCACCAGACGTGAGATCCTAGGAGGCATCACTGAAGCTTGAATGACACAGCGGAGCCCCCGTGTCCGGCTGTTTACGGGGTCCTCAGCTCTGACACTGGGACGTCCCCGTGGGCTGGGCCCCAGGAGGCCGGGTCCCGCCCCGCTTGTGTCGCAGCCGTGCCGTGTGGCTCTGGGCCAGCGTCCCTGGGCCTGTTTCCTCTTCTATGAAGGGGACGTTAGTCCCCTGAGCTCTGCCTGCCTCACCAGGGGAAGCAAGCGAACACCCTAAGGCTTTGCAAGGTAACAGGGTTATTTTGTGGTCCTTCAGGTAAAAAGCCTGTTGTCAGGATGAGTAAGTTCCGTTCATTCTTTCTCTGGGTGCGCTGGGCGGCAGAACGCCCTGCGTGCTAAGAGGTGACGAGTGAGGCCTGCAGGGTCTCCAGGGCAGCCTGGACTCCAGGAAGAAACGGCAGCACAGCTCGGGGTGGACTGGCTGTGGGCACCCTGGACCTGGGGCCTGGGCGACTCAGGCTCAGGGCTCAGGAGACACCTCCGCACAGTCCAGGCTTGCAGCGGCTCCTGGCGCCCCCGCTCTGCGCTCCCTTTGCCCTGGGACCCCCGAGGCCTCCCACTCCCATCTGCAAATCCTGAGGGGCCAGAAGGGCCTGTGCCCCCTTGACCAGGGACGGCGACATCACGTCCCTTCAGCACCCGTACCCATTAAATGCACCACGACCACACAGATCGGAGTTCTTTACCGTCAGTTTTACTTTCTGTCATCACATCACCTGTGGGGACTCCTGGGCAGGGAGACAACGAATCCACACGTGGTTTCCACGTTTGTAAACGCTGGACATGAGGACGGTGGGGACGGAACGTTGTATTTTGCATCGTAGGGTCGTCGTGAAAGAGCTGCTTCACAGCAGTGACCGTGACCCGGAGCAGCAGCGGACGATCCCCGTGAACATGAGCTGCGGGGAGGGCCGAAGGGCGTGCCGACTCCGTTTATAAGAAGCACAGGTCGGTCAGGACAGGGGCTGCCCTGGGGAGCAGGACAGACACAAGCGAGGCCTGAGGGCCACCGGGAGCCGGTCACTTTCTGTTCCTGATCTGGGGGCTGGCGCTCTGCGCTCAGTTGGCAGAGATTCACAGAGCCGCCCGTACCGAAGCCGTGCGCTTTCCTGTGTGTACGCTTTGGTTAAGTGACAGCTCACCAGTTAAACGCTTATTGATCTTTTTTTCTAATTAAGCAGCCATTTTAAAAATAATTTATTTATTTTTGGCTGCATTGGGTCTTCGCTGCTGCGCGCGGGCTTTCTCTAGTTGCGGAGAGCCGGGGCTACCCTTCGTTGCGGTGCGCAGGCTTCTCATCACGGTGGCTTCTCTTGTTGCGGAGCTTGGGCTCTAGGTGCGCAGGCTCAGTAGTTGTGGCACGTGGGCTCAGTAGTTGTGGCTCACGGGCTTAGCTGCTCTGCAGCATGTGGGATCTTCCCGGACCAGGGCTTGAACCCATGTCCCGTGCGTTGGCAGGCGGATTCTTAACCACTGCGCCACCAGGGAAGTCCAAATGCTTATTGGTTTTGAAGCTGTAGTTTGATCTCACGTTTTGGAGGCCCCAGACCTGGTGTATCAACAATCTGGGCCCCAGACAGGCCGTCTTTCTCCCGCTAGGCTGAGGTAGAGCCCTCCTCCCTGGCCTTGCTGACCGTCACCAACTGAGGGATGACCCAGAGGTCAGGTCCATGGGCTCTACACAGAGGTCACTGCCCTCCCAGGCTGAGAAGAGTCCTCTCCAGCCTCCTCCATCCGGGAGCCCACAGCCATACGTCTGACCACCACTTGGAGCTTATGCCCCGTGACTTAGAAAGTTCCGTGCACCTGCCACGTCCCTTACGAGCCTCTTGAGGCAGGGGGCCCCAGCCCGTCCTGCAGGACCCAGGGAGAACGTGCTTTCAGTAAACGGGAGCTCCCTTTACAGCCCTGAAGCTCACGTCCCCCAGGGCCTGCCTGGACATGTTCCCCTGGGGGTGGCTTTCCCTTTACAGGCTGTGGGACACTGGGCTTGTCTATCCCCTCCCTGAGCCCCACGTGACTTATTTGTAAGGTTAGCGCAGCCACACCAGTGTCCTGGAGACGAGGACGCAATGTGGGACCCGGAGCGGGTGGTGCCCCCGCACGGTGACCCCAGTCCTTGCCTGGCGCAGGGTCAGTGAGAGGGGATCCCCTCGGCCCTCAGCAGCTCCCCCAATAATCCACTGCTCGGAAGTGTTCAAAGAAATGCCAGCAATTTATTGATTTCCTATATTTCCAAAAAAAGCAAACGCACAGTGTACCCCCCAGGGAAACGGGCCTGGCCAGCGCTAGGTTCCTCCGCAAACATGGAGCGGGGGCGGGGGCACGGGCTGCAGAGTGCCCCACCCTCCCTCCCTGCCCAGCCAGAGCCCCTTCCTCACTGTCCCAGCTGCCCCCGCCCCAGCCAGGCTCCAGGGTGGATGGGACCAGCTCTGCCTCTGCGTCCCGGGGGCGGCTGAGTCTGCGCTGCTAGGCCGGCCCCGCTGCACCGGCTGCCGGTGGCCAGTGACCAGGTCTGTCTTACGCGCAGGAGGCCCTGGGTCGGGGCAGCAACAGGGAGGACAGGGTCCTCCCCCACTCGGCGTTGGACCGTCCTGTTCTGGGTGTCGAGCCCGACAGCGCGCGGCTGACGTATGCTTCACATCCTGAGCTGTGCCTCAGCGGACCCCGTGCTCCTTCTGTAGGAAATTTATCCACAGGCCCCTCCGAGGTCTGCCTCTTCCAAAGCGACAGGCCCGGGTGGCTGGCCTCAGAAGTCATGAGAGAGGTGACCAAAGCCAGGCCTGGCCTGACGGTCCGCCTGGCCCACGGGGGTCTGGAAAGCTGCCCATCCCCAAGGCAGAAGCTGGGCCCCGGTCCCCAACCCTGCGGGGGAAGGAAAGCCGAGGGAAGGGGCACCCCCACAGGGTCATCGGCTAGTTCCCTCTCGCCCTGACTGGACTGCATGGTCCTCTCACACTGGGGATCCCTAACGCCAGGGACCCCAGGGCCCCTCCTTCCTCCAGGAGAACGTGAGACGGGGGTGTGGCCTCTCCATTCACTGACGTATCCAGAGTGCTTACAACACTGCCGGGCTCTGTACGTGTTTCTTTGAGAAACCAGTTCCTCTGGGCCCTGAGGGATGGCAGAGGGGACAGTCTACTGGCACCAGCTCCCCACGGGCCCTGAGAGAGAGGCAAGCCACCACCACGAGGGGCGGGGAGGACGCGGCACAGACCCAGCACCAGAGCACGCCTGGCTGCGTGGCCCGTCATCTCGGGTCTGTTCCCCACCCGCTCCCTAGTCCCGTCCTGCTGCCACATCTCTCATCAGGAGGGTCCTCAGTGCAGAGGCTCTGACTGCTGGGGTGAGCGGTGGGGCTGGACGGGGCGTGGGGGGAACTCCAGGCCGGGAGGAGGGAGGAGGGAGGACGAGGCAGCCAGTCCGCCTCTATCACCACCAGTGCCGCTTGGCGGGGACGCTGTGTCCTGCCCTGTCCTACAGTGCAGACCAAGGACCATTTCCACAGCCCTTCTCCGGAGGCCCCTCCTCTACTTCTCATCTGAAATGCACAGGAGTCTGGGGTCTGGGGTGGCCAGTGTCCCTGGTGGGCCTCTTATCACGTCCCCTGCGGTTTGCACAAAGTAGAGACAGAGGGCTGGGGTCGGGGAAGAAGCGAGCGGCCTCTGGCTGGGACGGGGGCGGCTCCCCTTCCTGTTCTATCCAAATTCCCTTCCTCCGAGTCTCCTGGGACCCAAAACACTCCCTCGCTTGGATCTCGGCAGGCGCACAGGGCAGGACCCTCCTGGCTGACTCCCTGCCTGGCCCAGCCTGCCCCTCCGCTGGGAACACGAGGACCAAGCTGCCAGTCCCTGAACAGCTGCTGGGCCTTGAGCACCATCCTTCCTTCCTTCTCCTGCAACAAGTGGATTCCAAGCCCCCGGAAGGCAGGGGCTTCCCAGGCTGAGCCTGCTCTGACGGGTACACAGCCTGCGAGAATGGCCAGGCCCCCTCTCTGGCACCTACCCTCGGGACAGCCTTCACACAGCAAAGCCAGCGTGCCTGTCCTGGCCCATCTTGCAGACGGCCACGTGGCACCGGGGGCTGGGCTGCACAAGCGCACAACTAGATCTTCCCAGGAGATACACCGAACCCCGCCAGCCTCCCTTCCTGCAGAGCTGCCTCTTAGCGGGGGTTGAGCCCCCGGCCTCACATATTCCCCCCCGCGCCCCGCCCCCTGCAGAGGTCCCCGTGGGCCTGGCGCTGGCGTGGCCCCTGCCCCGGCACACACAGCTCAGGACGACGGGGAAGCTACACCCAAAGCACACATTGTCCGCGCCCGTGAGGGCGAGTCCCTCCACCACCGTGAGCTGCAGCCCGGCAGCTCCCACAGCTCTTTGCAGGTTCAGGTCGTGCTTTCAGCACGTGCGTGCGCGCGCACACACACACACACACACACACACACACACACACACTATACACATGTATATGTACCGTTTCTCGGCCAAAGAAGTATTGACATCAGATGTAAGCTCCCTTAACTGAAGAAAGGCCCCCCAACCCTCCCCAACCCCCATTGCCTGTCAGTTCCCCCAAGAAAAAAAAAAAAATCTAAACGTATTCTTGTCATCCACAGCATCCCGGTTTGCTCTCAGCTGTGGTTAGACATTTCCCAATACTGTGCAGCTGGACAGAATACCCCTCCAGCAAGGCCCGAGTCTTCTCAGCTGGATCGTATCACGTCTGGAAAGGACAAGGGCTCTCGTGAGTGCCCACAGGGGGGCAGCCACGCCGCCGGTCTCGCCAGGGCTGTCCCCCCCTCACCACGTCCGCACACACGTGCCCAGGCCTGAGCCTGGGGTCAGGGTCGCCCTCGACACGTTCACAGGTTGCTCCTGTTGGGTCAGAGCTGCCCCCCGCCCCCGGTGGCCAGCGCAGCACCGAGCGCCGCGACTGCGTGCCTCAGGCATCTGCTGGTTTGGGTCTCCTCTCCTTGCCTGTCCTCATGTTGTTGGAGCCCATTTGCCAGGAGTGGGTGTCTGAGGTCTAAGGGACGTGTCTGAGGTCTAAGCCTGCCTTCCGGGGGTTTGGAATCCACTTCATCTGGACTGAAGTTCTAGCCCCTACCCCAGCCAGGACCCTCCCCGGGTGCTGGGATTGGGGTCCTGGCGACAGCCGGGGCACGAGGAAGTCCCCTTCAGCTCAGGAGACCCTGTCCCAGCCCTGGCTCTTTGCAGACGGCTCCACCCTAGGGCTGCCTGCCTCTGCTGACCCTCGAGGGTTGACGAGGTCTGGTTTGAGCACCTAAGCCTGGTCCTGGGCTTACCTGCACCAGAATCACTTTGGACGCTTGTTTAACAATGTATTTTCCTGGACCCCACTCCGGAGCCACTGAGTCAGAACTGCTGGGGCTGGGACCAGGAGTGCGCAGTTTAGCAAGCATCCCAGGTGAGTCTAACGGAGGCTAAGGCTTATTTATGAGCCTTTGTCACAGATATTGGATCTGAGGTTTAGGTCCCTAGAATCCTCAGCTGGAAACAAGCTTGTCCACACTAGGCATGGTGCAGAGACTGGAAGGTGGATTATAAAGGAGAAGGTGGTGAGCGGTAGAAGCCCAAACCCCAAACGACACATGGTGTCACTGCAGGGGCGCCATGCATACTGCAGTCCACGTGAATGGTACCACCTGGGTCGTGCAGTGTGCAACGCACACGGCTGTACCCAGCAGTTCTGCCCAGACCTCTGGCCTGTCGACGCTACCAGGACATTGCCCACCCCTAACATCCTGTGTGGGATGGTCACTGGCCAGGCAGTCTACACGGCTGTCCTCACAGACAGCCTCACCGTGTGTCAGCTGGACTGAAGGATGCTTCTGCATCCCTGGGGAGCACCGCCTGGCTCCTTTCTCTGGGTCTGGCTGACGCCGCGGTAGGGGTCCCGGGGGCGCCCCCTGCCCTGGGTGGGCCGACTCTTACCTGCAAGCTGAACTTGCTTGGGCAGCCTCTTCTTAGAATCGGGAGGAGAAGTTCCTGAGGCTGCTGGCCCCAGCTAAGGTTCCCAGCATGCTCCTATCGAAACCTTGCTGCGGAGGAGAAACGAGAGCTCTATGAAACATCACAGGACGGACCAGTGCGGGCGTCCACGCGGCCAGAGGCTGCCCCCAAGCGTCCTCGAGCTTGCGCGAAGCTCCCTGGACACACTCTGCACGTGTGTCGGGGCTAAAACTGGCCTGATTAAACGTGTGACCAAGCGTGAGGTCCCTGACACGAGTTAGTGAGATGGGCCTGGCCTTCCGCACAACGGAACACCCTACTCGCCATCACAGAAACCTGAATCCAGGCGTGAGGGTCTAGCGACTGCTTGTCACTCTAGAAACAGAGCAGCCACCGGAATCAGGTTAGAAAAATTGTTTCTTCCTCTGACTGGCCCCGCCTTTTAAAAAGATGAATCCCGACAACAGCTCTTAGCAGGGAGGTCATGCCCGGCGGGGCGGAAGGGTCACGGCTCTGTCTACCTGTGTGCTCTGCCACCTCCAGCCTTACCAGCCCCGAGAGCGTGCCGAGCAAAGGCTGAATCTCACTCCTGTGTGTCTCACAGCAGATGGCAGGTGCTCAATACATGCTCTGGAGTGACTGAGGGCGGCCCTGGAGAAGGGGCGCCTGGCTCCAGCCCTGGCCTCTGAGAGCCTCGTCAGCGCTCACTGACCGGTGGGGACACAGGGGACCAAGGCAGGCGGTTCGAAGCCCCGGTCCCACCTGGTCTGGGCATGGGAAACGTGATCATCCCCCCCACCCCCCGTCCCCCGCAGGTTTGCAGGCTCTCTCCTGCCAAGCTTGGCGGGATGTGGTGGAAGGTCCCAGGAGAGTCGAGTCCTGGGTCCCAGCCCCGCTGTCCTCCAACTGGCCGAGTCAAGGCCGACTCTGGGGCCCCGTCTCCCTGGTCTGCAGGAGGGACCAAGCCCATGGCGGCCTCACTGGGGATGCAGCAGCCCCGTGAAGGTGGATGAGCACCGAAGCACCAGCCCAGTCCCTTTGGGGCTGCGGTCAAAGCTGGCTCCAACTGCGTGGCCCAGGAGAGCCTGACCGGGGGACTCTCTGTGTGTCCTGCGCGGGTGCCACCTCTGGATCTGGGTGAGCCCAACCCTTGGGCCACCTCGGAGCAGCTGGAGGAAGCGCTCCCTGGTCCTCTCACCCGCCTCCCCTCCACGAGGCCTTCCTGGCAGCTATCACGTGGCCAAGCCCACCTGCCCAAAAGAGCAGGACAAGGGCCACCACCGGCAGTGGCTTCACACGGCCCCGGCCACCTGTCTCCCCACCACGCTGGAGGAAGAGCCGTCCTTCTCCTGCCCAGGGGGCTGTCCTCCCACCCCCTCCCCTGCCCGGTCAGGCAGTTCCTGAGCCTCCAAGACCCTGTCCCCAACCCCCGCCCCACCTTCCTTCTCCTCCTTCACTTTCCCTGCAGAAATGTCATTAAACAGGTGGCTTTTTATGCATTCTTTTGTCTCCCTGCCCTCTGGCCAAACTGAGGTGATCAGGTCCCCTCCCAGCCCCCGCCCCCCCCCCTGCAGTGGGCCCCATGGGGCTCCCCCTCCCCCCCCTTTGACAGCTGTGCCCTAGAGTCACCGGAGACTTCTGGACGCCCAGATCCAGGCCCTTCCTGTTCCCATCTCCCCTCGGCCCCCAGGGAGGGTCTTCTCCCTGCTTCCGCCTTTGTCCCCCAAGACTTTTCTGCAGACGTGCTGCCCGTGCCCGTGGCTTCTCCCACGTGGACATGCAGCCGTCTGCACGCAGCCTGGCCTCTCTCCCCAGGCCCCGCACGCGGACCCCAGACTCCACCTCTCCATCAGGGCTCCCTCAGAAGCCCCTGACCCTCCCCCGCTTCCCTGCCTGATCCGTTTCTAAACGTAACCACAGGGTCTCCAGCCGGAAGCCCAACCCGCCTGTTTCTTCTGCCCCTGCCCTTCATGGCCACCCTCACTGCTGCTGACACTTCGGTCTAAAGAGCGGCTGCCCCTGAGATGGGAAAGGAGGTCAGTCAGCATGAAGGGCTCCTACAGAACTGGACCCGACCGTGCGGCTGGGGAGGGGGGAGGTGTTGGGGACAGAGGGGCAAGGTCGCCACCGGACAAATCCAGCAGCCTGGTCTCGTGTCCACTCCACCCTGCAGTGCATGCGAGGAGCCTTCCTAGGGCTGGTTTCAGCATGTAACTCTCTCCTCCAAACCCTCAGTGGCTCCCCAGCGCCAAAAGCAAACCCTTTAGTCTAAACTTGATTGGGTCTCGCCATGCGGCCCAAACCCGCCTTCCCAGCCAGACTGCACACGTGCCCCCAAGCGCGTGATGCGCCTTTGGTCCGCCTGCTTCCCAGTTCGTTCCCAGAAGACCCCCCACCCCCAGGCCTCCGCGGCACTTCCTGGATCTCCTCTGTCCTCCACCCGCTCAGCGCCTCCGCAGGCCCTGGGTTGAGAGGTGTCAGTGCCTGGATCCCAGTCACCGAGGGGCTGGCCTCTCCCTTCCTGCGCCGCGCGGACCCGAGTCAGTGGCGGGAAGGAGCGGGAAAGCCTCGCCGGCAGGGGTGGAAGGTGTGGGCCCTTACCTGTCTGAGGACCCCCTGCAGCTCCCTGCTGGACCACATGTCAGCCAGGAGGAGTCGGGCGGCCTCTGCAGCCCTGGGGGAGGTGCTGCACGGGTAGAAGTTCATCAAGGGTGAGACTCCAGCAACTTGAGGATGAACGAACGCCCTCTTCTGCCCCCCTCACCTCCTCGTGGGGCGGCCCCTGGGTGCCCGAGAGTGCAGCCCCACGGGGGGATCCCTCTACACAGCGGGCACACCCCCAGGTCCCTGCCCACCTAGAGGTACCCGGGACTCTCTCTGGGGCCCCGGTCCCACCCCCTGGCCTTGTCCTCGGCGGAGAGGAGCCCGTGGAGCAGACGCAGCTCCCGCACGGCTGGGTCTGCCGCTCGGTGCCTCCCGCTGGCCCACGAGGACTCAGCGGCGCTCGGTCCCCTGGCCGGGAAGCGTGCTGCCCGAGGCCCGGATGCAGGAGCTCGGCTTCTGGACTTCCCTCCCGGTCAGCCTCCCCGCCGCTCCCCCGTGCACCGCACGGCCTGCTCAGGCTGCGGCACTGCTCCTCCGCGGGGCCGGGGAGGGCGCGGAGGGGCCCCCCATGCCGCCCACCTGCTGCGACACAGGTTGATGACGTTGCAGATCATGTCGCTGGAGAAGTGCTGCTTGGCCATCGCAGGCTGCGACGCCATCAGGTTCCTCACGGTGTAGCAGGTCGAGGACAGGATGTCCTCCGAGTTGCTGGTGTGGCCGGTATGGCTGCTAAGGAGTCTGGTCACCTCCGGGAACACCTGGTTCCCTGGGAGAGGAAGGAGGGCGCGGCACGGGGTCAGGAGACCGAGGGCTCCCACGGGGCCCCGGGCCTGGCGGCTCCAACTCGGGGCTTGGGACCGTATGGGACCTCGCACGCCTGCGCCCCATCCTCAGGTGACCTGCACCTTCCCATGCCCGAGCCTGTCTTGGGCCAGGCGCTCCACCCCAGGGAGCGGTCAGAGGGTAACCTTTCGGGAGGCTCTGGAAAGTGGGAGTGGGGGCTGGCCCGAGCCACACGGCACTCACCCATCACCCGGTGCAGCGCGGGGTGGCGGGACATGTTGCTCAGGAGGGACGCTCCGGACCGTACCACGTCCGAGTTGCCCGACTGCAGGAGCTTGGCGATGTGAGGCAGGCCCTTCTCCTTCAGCCCGATCAGCTGGCTCATGCCGCTGGACATCTGAGAGAAGGGACGGACGCGTGAGGCCTTGGCTGGGCTCCCCAGGCCGCCCGGCAGGCCGGAGAGGCTCCCCAGGCCAGTTACCCCGAACCGAGAGACCCCAGAACTTTCTCTCTTCCGTGCTGGAAGCAGAGACAGACACACATTTGCTCCCACCTGGGCGACTGCAGGACAAAGCCCCGGGCACACATGCACCTGCACCTCACCCGGGGCAGCCTGGAGCCCAGGGAACGAGGGAAGCCTCCGGCCCCTCATTCACGGCGGGAGGGGCCCCAGAATCAACTTCCGGATTGAGCCGGTACCAGCGGCTGCCGCTCTGCCTGCCTCACCCTTCCCAGCCCCGGCTGCTCACGTGAAGCCTCGGGTCGAGGGCACCTGGCACCTGAGGAAGTGCCCACCGTCCCGTGCCAACCTCCCTGCCTTCTGTGGAGTCAGTACATACTTGAGTCAAGGAGGGATAAGAGCGGGCCTGTGCCCCGTGGAGATGCCATCCAGGTCAGCCCATCCGGGCCGGCGTGGGCTTCTTGAAGACCCCCGGCCTATCCCCTCTCAGTGCGGGGTCCTCCTTTACCCTCAACTCACCCCTGTCCTCCTTCCGCCCGCCCCCTTCCGTCCTGAGCAAGGAGGAGGGCGGGGTAGCTGCAGACGTGCCTCCCACGGCACACGTCTCAAGTCCATCAAGTCCTCCCCCTGCCCGTGGCCTCAAAAATCTCTCCCGATCCCGCCACATCTTCCTCTGGACCCGCCCGCACCCCAAACCCTCTATTTCCACCCCTGTCAGTTCAGCAAAGAGGAGACCCCTCTCCTACCACGAACACACCCTTCGTCCTGTCCCCCATCCCAGGCAGAGCCCGAGGCCAGCCCAGGGCCGGACGCCAGGAGGCAGATTCTGTGGCACAGACAGAATCCAGGAGGGCTGGTTCCACAGCCCCTGTCCTCCACCTGGGCGTCCCAGGGGCCGAGGATGCTCCCTCCACACGTCCCCAGTGCCTGGCCCAGAGCCTACGCACGCCAGACCCTTGACTCAGGCAGGCCCCGGTACATGGGGACGCGGGGAGCTGAGCCCGGACCGTGGGTGGAGAGACGGGTGCGGGGCGCGGGCGCTCACCAGCCCCTTGCTGGCGGTCAGGTTTTGCAGGGCGCCGGCGCAGGCCTCCAGGGTGGCGTCCTTCTTGCTCTTGCCCATGAGGTTCAGGTAGGTGCGGATGGCGTTCGAGTGGTACAGCCAGCTGCTGCCCTTGGGGTTGGGCTCTTCCTCAGGAAGGGGGCAGTCGTAGTTGTCGTTCTGGGGACAAGAAGCAAGTCGAGAGGGGCCGAACCCACGCATTCTGCTCCCCCAGCCTCAGGGTCATGGTTCCCAGATGAGGAAGCGCCCGCTGCCCCCTCCTCTGTGCACCGCAGCTGCTCCCCGGCGGGTGAGGGGCAACTATGCCCTCTGCCGTCTCCACGGGGCACAGAGCATCCTCGGTGCCCCAGGCCAGCTCTGCCCCCACCCAGCTATGAGGCTGCTGTGGGTCTCACACCCTGACGCCTCCATCCCTCCCAGAGTCACAGCCTGAACTTGACCCTCCCGGGGCCAACAAGGGTGGTCCAGGGCCTGGCTCCTGCCGCCGGCACAGTGATGGCAGCCACCCTCCCTCCGCAGCATCCCTCTGCTTCTGGGGAGACCTGGGGGGCTCAGGAGGCGGTGGGAACCGGGATGCCCCCCAATCTTCAGGGGTGAGATGAAGAGGGGGAGACTTTACTGGTCACACAGCAAGAGACACAAGCCTGCAGACAGGGGCCTGGAGCTTTTGGTCTCCAGGGGTCTGAGCAGCTCCTACATCCCGAGCACACACCCCCCCAGTGTCGTAAGATGCCAAGGTCGGGCAGGGGTCCATTCCCCGGGACTGGCCTCGGGCTCCAGCAGGGCAGAGAGGCGGGGGGCACGAGGCAGTGGGATCCGGGGGACTCCGCGGGAGCAGACGGACAGACGCACGGACAGACGCACACGCTCACCATCATCCTGCCGTTCTTGCTGCTGAAGCAGCCGGTGGAGGACTTCTCGGTGTAGGCATTGCGGGCGTTGTGCTCCAGCTGGCGGTAGCGGGTGGGCACCTCGGTGTCCAGGCGGTAGCAGAGGTTGTGCAGGGTGCACATGCAGTTCTCCACAGACTGGGGGCGAGCAGAGACGGCGCTGAGCCTCTGCTCAGCCCCCGAACGCCTGGCTCAGTCCCTGCTGCCACAATCCCTCCAACGAGAGGGCGGGCCCCTCGGGCTGCCCTGGGCCAGCACAGACGCCGCCACGGTCCAAGATCTTTGCCGCTTTCCTTCCGTAAACCCTCCCGGCTCGGGGGTGAGGCAGCAGATCTGCCCTCTTAATGTCTGGCCCTGCTGGGGTTTGGGAGCCCCTGACTTCCGGGGCCCGGGGTCACCCAGGTGGAGGCGGTGTTCTATCCACAGCGGGAGATCACAGCGCTGCTGGGGCCACCCTGAGCAGTCAAGCGACAGGCTGTCTCCTGAAGCCGGCCGTCCCTTCCAGGGGAGGGAGTAGGAGGCCAAATCCCTCCCCAGGGAAACCATGTGCAGGACCCAGGGGCCGTGATGCCCGGCCAGGCCCCTGGGGACTGCTCGCCAGTCTCCGTCCTGCTGTGCGGAAGGACCTCAGCCTCCAGTATACCTTCCTGTCCCGATTTCCCCTTGCTGTCTGTCTGGGCAGGTGTCCAGAGCCCTGGGGGGTGGGAGGGTGGCTCTACCAGGGCCTCTGGGGGCGGCAGCGGACGCTCACAGAGAGCTCGCCCTGAGCCGGGAGCTCCCTGCGTGTTTTGCTTATTAACTGAGTCTCTAAAACAACCCCCAAGGTAAATACGACGTGGACTGAGGAACAGAGATGAGGGAAGCGTCACAGTCCAAAGCCTCTAAGTGCGGGAGAGGACCTGCCCCTGCAGCCACTGCTTGGGCGCCACCCACCAAGGAAGGGTCGGGCCGCTCGCCATCCGCACGTTCCCTCTGCTGGCCAGGCTCTGCGTCCCTCCCGGCCACCAGGCCACGCCTTAAAGGCTCCCAGGAGCGCAGACCTGCCCTGTGGAATCTGGGAGAGAAAAGTACCAGGACCTGGAGTCCCAGGCCGCCCTCACTGATTGGAGACAGAGAGGAGTCTAGGTTCAGGGGTGTGCCCCCTGGGGCGACGCTCACCTTGTCGTCACAGCGGCCGGCTGCCACACATTTCTGGATATAGGCCATGAGGGAGTCAATGAGACCCGTGTAGTTGCGCATGGCCTGGCGCCCCGTGTCTGCGGAGCTCAGGTTCCTGGCGGAGGACATGGGGCGGGTGGGGAGAGGGGGGGACAGGTGGGAGGGGAGGAGATGCAGCGGGGAGGGGAGGGGGGAGAAGAGGAAAGGAACGGGTGGGAGACAGAAATGAGGGCCAAGGAAGGAAAGAGAAACCGTTCAGCGAATCCTGCTCAGTCCTGGCTGAGGCTGGGAAGGGCTCTCACTGGAACCCGGCTCTTTTCGCCCTTCCTGCCCACCTGGTCCCCAGGCCCGTAACTTTGATGTGCCCAGGGCTCCGTGCCGCTGGCAGCCCAGGCACACACCCTGCCCTCGCGGCGCTTGCCGGGCAGGGGACTGGACGCCCCTCCCCGCGGAAGCTGTGCTCTGCCCCCAGCAGCGGGCTCACTCCCACCCGGGCAGTCTGGGCCCTTCCGCCTGGTGCAGGTGGGGTGTGACCTGCTACCACCCCACAAAGTCCTCGATTACCCTGGCTCTGCCTCTGCCTAGCCTCTCTGCTCCCCAGAGGCTGCCGCCAGAGGCGGGGAGGGAGGAGCCCAAGCCAACTGTACCCCTGTTCTGGGGCTCCCAGGAGTTGGGGAAGACGTGTGACCCTTAGGGGGGATCTGCTCCACAGTTCCACCTCCATGCCGCCCACCCCCCGGAAGCAGCCTCCAGGGCCTTTGCCACACCCTGGGGCAGAACTCAGGGAACCCTGGGGCAGAACTCAGGGAACTCTGGGGCAGAACTCAGGGAACTCTGGGGCAGAACTCAGGGAACTCTGGGGCAGAACTCAAGGAACCCTGGGGCAGAACTCAGGGAACTCTGGGCAGAGCAGCGCCGTCTTCATGCCGAGGAATGCAGCAGGTGCTGCTCGCACCCCAGCCGGGAGCCCACCCGCAGACCTGTGTCGAAAAATGCTCTTCAAGACAGCACAAGGAAGGCATATTTTGTGGTGTGGAAGAAGGGGAAACAGCTGTGCCAGTTTAGCTATTCGGATCCAAGCATTTCCACTCAGATCCCTAAGGAAGACCCCCTCAGCAGAGGTGGTGGGGTCCTGAGCCTCCACCAGGCCCAGGGAAGCTGGGACGCAGCCACGTCTGGGAGGCCAGGCTGGTGCCAGCCCCCTGCCCCGCTGAGCCTGGGCTGAGCCGGGCTGAGCTCCCCGCCCTCACCTCAGGCAGCCGGTGGCATTGAAGAAGACCTCAGCGTCCACGGCTTTCTGGGGCACGTTGCTGTTGCCATCGCACCAGCCGGAGAACGGGATGATGACCCGGTCAGCCAGGACGGGCAGGGCTTCCGAGATCAGCTCCTCCTTTAGCTCGTCGGTGGAGGACAGGTTCCAGAGCAGCCCTGGGGGTGGGGACCGCCAGGGTCAGGAAGACCAGGGACCCAGTGCCACCCCCGTCTGGACACCACCTCCCGGACGGGCCTCTGTCACGTGAGCATCCCGTGAGCCCACTTGCCCACGTCTCAACTAGATGGCAGGCTCTTGAGGGCAGAGCGTCTGGAGTTCTCCGTGCAGGTCAAAGTTACACACAGGGAAGCGGATCAAAACACGTGCGACTCAGCAGTGTTTTCTGATACCAATGCTAGCACTCAGCAGCTTCTCACGGTCTCTGCTTTCCACCCAAAGGTCAGCCCAGAGACTCTCACTTGCTGCGAATGTGGCCCCGTCTTCCCAATCCCACTCCAGGCCTCCTCAGTCACTTCTGTGCCCTGTGTGCCCACCCTGAGTGCTTGCTGGTACAAGCCTTGGATACAGGCGCCGATGACCTGTTGACCTGCTCGCTCCCCTTCACCTGCAAATCCCAGGGTCTGCTGAGTACAGGTCCTGCCTGGACACCAACCCTCCACTCCCTCCCTCTATCCCTCACACATAGATGGTGGATGGACGGACAGATGGACATGGACAGATGGATGGAGGGACACAATACCCAGGGTCACCAGCTGGACACAACCAACTGGCCAGCACCGGTCCCATGGGACTCCTGGGGTGTCAGCCTGAGGCCGCCCACGCCCCACCCTGTCCTGGGCTGTGGCCACCCCAGCGCCTCCCAGCCGCCCCGCTCTCTGTGGCCGGGCTCCCCACCGGTCAGCTGCTTCTGGATCTCCGTGCAGCTGGTACTCCTCAGGAGGTTGACGGCCTCGCGGATGCCGCTCTGCCTCTGAGTCTCCAGCTTGTTCGTGGTGCTGCGGAACACCAGGTTGCGCAGGGCCCCGGCCGCGGCCTGCTGCACATTCTGGTTGGAGCTGCGGAGAAGGTCCACCAGCTTGCAGATGCCGCCCAGCTGGTACACCTGCGGGATAGGGCGCCCAGCGCCGGGCAGGGCGGTGAGGCTGGGCTGACGACCCTCCACTTGCAGCAGCTTCACCCCGACCGAAACACCCAGGGCGGCCGAAATAAACAGGCAGCGCAGAGTGACAGTGACCGGCCAGACGCGGAGCCAAGGCAGGACTTCGCCGCCAGGTCTCTCGCACCCCAGCCGGAACTCCCTGAGCCCCTCCTCGGGAGCCTGGTGTGAGGACCAGACGGGAACACGCATAGAAACACACTTCAGAACCCTAAGGCGGGGAGACCCCCCTGCAAACGCCTCCTCAATACAGCAGGAACTGGATGCAGATGGACCCTGCCCACTCTAGGAAATGCCTTCACGGGACTGCACCCTTGGGCTGACAGCAGAGGACTTGAGTCCTCCCTGCCAGCCACGCTTAGAGGCACAGACAGCCCTGTTCTCCACCACAGAAGCCTGGTGAGAGACAAAGGTACCACGGAGGGACAGAGACAGAGACAGAGAGACCGAAACAGAGAAAGAGAGAGAGAAAGAAACAGAGAGAGGCAGAGACAGAGAGACCGAAACAGAGAAACAGAGACAGAGACAAAGAGACAGAAACAGAGAAAGAGAGAGAGAAAGAAACAGAGAGAGACAGAGACAGAGAGACAGAAACAGAGAAACAGAGACAGACAGAGACAGGGACAGAGAGAGACACAAAGAGACAGAAACAGACATAGAGAGACACAGGCAGAGAGAGACATAGAGACAGAGACAGAGAAAGAGACTGAAACAGAGAAAGAGAGAGAGAAAGAAACAGAGAGAGACAGAGAGACAGAGACAGAGAGAGGGGGTAGGGAGAGGAAGCTGAAGTGGAGGGAGATGTCCCTCCTTAGTGGAATCTGAGGAGGGGTCTCTTTGGAACCCGTGGCCGTCACCAAGGGTCTCTTCCACAGCCAACAGAGGAAACACGGCCGAGTGGCATCCCCTCCACCAGGGGCTCTGCTCCCACAGAGGGTTAAGATGCCCGTTCTGATCTCGGGCAGTGCCAGGCCCACTCCCGGGCCACAGGCAGCTGGGCTGGGGTAGAAGGAGCCATCGGGCAAACACCCCCACCAGCTCATGTGCAGGGTCAGGCCGCCCCGCCCAGGCCCCGCCCAGGCCCCGCCCAGGCCACTCGCCTGCTGCTTGGCGGACTCATCCTGGAAGCAGGTGTGCTGGATGTAATAGGCCCCGATGGCCTGGCACTTCTTGTCTGGGGAGGTCAGGCACCGCACGGCCTTGGGGATGGTCAGCCCGCTGCACTCAACGTCTTCGCTGCAGATCCTGTGGGGACGCGCGGCGTGGGGTGCACGAGGGTTACAGGGGCTTGGAATCCCCCTTGCGTGCCGTGCCGAGAGCCAGAATGAGGCAGCCCCAGGCCCCTGGGGCTATGGACAGCTCCTCCAGAGGAGGGGGAAGGCTCACCCCGCCGTGAACACTTGCTGGGACGAGGCCCTGTCATATGTTCGTGTCCAAGCGGCTAGTTACCTCTGCCCTGAGAAAAAACTCTGCTCTATTCCTGAGGGGAAGCTCTCCACCCACTCTGCCATCTCTCATGTCTGTGCCTGGTACTGGGAAAATGGAAGAGGATGGCTGGGGGCCTGTCCGTCTATCGATGCCCTGCCATCATCCCTCCCTCCCTCCCTCCCTCCATCATCCACCCATCTTTCCTCCATCCACACATCCATTTATCCATCCATCTATCCATGTATCCATCTTCTCTCCATCCATCCATTACCCATTTATCTATGCATCTACCCATCCCTCCATCCCTCCATCCATCCATCATCCACCTATCTTCTCTCCATCCATTCATCCATCCATCCATTCACCCACCCACCCATCTCTCTCTCCTCCCTTCATTTCTAACACAAAAATTCTCACACCTACTCCTTCTTCCATCCTCACGGCCACTGCCTTCCCTCTGACCACGGTCACCCTCACTGGGACTACAGGGAGGGCCCCGCAGCTGGTGTCTTCTCCAAGCACTCCCAGCTGAAATGTTACACCCCTTCCCCAGATGAGCAGCCTTAACACTGTTCACTGTGTTGTCCCCGTCAGCAGCTTCTCATACTGCACGTTCAAGTTCAAACTGCTTAAACTGACATCCAAGGGCATGTGTTAGGTCGAACCACACCAAATGGCTGAAAATCAGCTTTTCTGAGCCACAGAACGAGAACAATCATGTTCTAACCCCACAGTCTGGCTCTGCTGTGTCCTGTACACTCTCTAGCCCTAATGTGGGTCTGCTCCAGCAAGACTGCCCTCTGCACTGCGCCCTGATCAGGGCTCAGGGGTGCCGCTGTCCCTTCCCTTCACCATCCCCGTGACCACTGAAGACCCACTGCCTTCCCAGGGAAAGGAAACCTCTCTTCCAGGACCCACACCGGCTCCCGGGGTGCCGACTACAGGCTGCCTCCCCAGCTGCCCGTGTCCTGGGTCCCACAAGACAGCGGGGACAGCTCCTTCTTGGCACCCAGCCCTTCCCCCCTGGAAATCTTCCCAGCGTTTCTAGAGGGAGAAACACTCCTCATGTGTACCAGCCTCATGCCCTTCCAGAGCAGGTGCCCGACTCCATTTCTGGAAACATCACCCACGGGGTGGAGCTCCCCAGTCTCCCCCAGCCTCACTGAGAGACTGTCGCCCAGAATCTGCCAGTCGAACGTCACCTCCAAGTGGCCTGTCACTCACGCCCTCCATGGCTCACCTGGCCCTGTCCTCTTGGGGCCTCCGGTTTGGGGCGATGAGCCAGGGCCAGGCGCCGCCCTGGTCAGTCTCCGTGGGACAGAGGCTTCTGAGTCCTCCTGCGAGCATCCTCAATACCCCTTACGGCCTCTGAGTAGCCGTAAGGAGAGGGCCGGCTTTATAACAGCTCTGCTTATGGGCGGGACAGCACAGTGAGTAGGGGAGGGCACAGGGAGTGGCCTCGGCTGTGTGGTCTTGGGTGAGCTCCCTAATGTCTCTGTGCCTGTTTCTCCTCAGGTTCTAGCCTGGAAGGGCTCTGAGGGTTAGAGATGAAGATTGCAAGGCTCGTGGGCTCCACGGCAGGGGGTTACTCCTGCAGCTGCAGGACGGCCCTGGGCTGCCGTTCTCTTCATGGCTGTCTCCCCGCTCTGACCACAGACCACACATGCTCAGTGAATGTCAAATACATGAATAAAGGACCACCCAGTGGTGACAGAGGACAGCTCCCATGTTCACGGGGCTCTGAGCCCTGGAGGGCAGGCCTCAAGACCCTCGAGACACCGTGGCCATCCCCGAGCCACCCTGTGCCCAGGGCTCTCTAAAGGACTCCCACTTCATCTCCTGCATTCCCACTCCTGGCACTAGATCTTACCAGTTTTTATGACTTTTGTCCTGTAAGATGGACCCGCCTCTTTCCCATTGCTGACCCCAGGGCACACTCCTTTGCTCTTTCAGAACGTGGGGAGAGGTTTACACGCCCAAGCCCAGGGATTCTCAAACCCTGGCAGGGTCTCCGTCTCCTGCAGGCTGGTAACGCACACACCGCGGGCCCCTCCCAGGGTTTCTGAGCTGGAGGTCTGGGAGGGCCTGACAGGAGTGTTTCTCACAGGTTCCCCGGTGATGCTGAGGCTACTGGCCAGAGAAGCACACTCTGAGAACTGCTGGTCCAGCTAGCTTCTGATTCTCCTCCCCCTGTTCAGTACCTGTGACCCTTGAAAACTCACACACTCGACAGGTTTGCTCAGTGTCTCCACGCTGAGAACTTCCCGGGCTAACGGTCTGTCTCCCGTGCCCCGCATGCCCCCCCGCCCCGCCGAGTGACACTCACTTGGAGCTGGCCCTTGAGTGGCTGAAGGACTGGTCCTTGGTGCAGGTGATGGGCTGGACGTACACGGGGTCCTGCTTGGAGGTGCAGGAGGGCGGGCGCACCGGGTACTTCTTGGCCCCCTTCTGGCCGCTGCAGGTGCTATAGATGCTGTAGCGGTTCTGGGCGGTCTTGAAGCCCTTGCTGCCCAGCGTGCCCTTGCGCAGGGTGCCGCGGGGGTCGCAGCAGAGGTCGGGCTCGCTGCGGCTGGCCTTCATCTTCTGCATGAAGCAGATGTCGCTGCCGGTGCCGGGGGGAACGCAGCTGCTGCGGGGGTACTGCCGGCCCCAGGTCTCCATCTGGCTGTAGGAGCTGAAGCGCCTGTTGTCTGCCTCCCGCTTAAGGGTCCCATTGTAGATCTGGCCAGAGAAGGGGAGAGGGGCTCAGCCGAGGGTCCCGACCCGGGATCCAGCCCCCCGCTGCCCCCGCGAGAGGCTCAGAGAAGCCCGGGGTGTTTGGTGTGGAGGGAACCGTGGCCAGCATCTCAGACTACTTTTCAAACTGCAGGCTGTGACCCGTTATGGATTATGAAATCAGTTTAGCAGACTGTGACCATCATTCTTTTTAAATGGGATTGAATAATATACACTGGCATTAAAAATATCAGAGTGCATGCAGTGCAGGTAGAAAGGGCTGGGCTGTCATGTAAAATGTACTTCATACTGTGCATTGTAGCCAGAAAAGTTTGACAGACACTGATCCGGTCCCAGTGGGCCCGGTCTAGGAGGGGAGTCAAAGGCCCAGGGAGGAGAGGGGCCTTCCTGTAGAGGGAAGGGCAACAGTGGGACTTGAACGCAAGCCCCCAAGCCCTCGCCCCGCCGCCCCGAGCACTTCCCAGACACCAGCAGCTCCTGACCGCCTTGGCCGCCTGTACTCCGCGCAGGGAAATTTCTCCTGCTCTGGCCAGGACTTCTTTCCACTGTTATTTCTCTGCCAAACTCCCCATCTTTGCCTCCTGTCTGCCAAGCCAAGAAGCAAACGGCAAGAGGCATTCTAGGGGGACCCCTCGAAGGCCAGAGGGGGAAAATATCTTGCTCCCTGGGCCTCCTGCACCCGTGGAGGCTGGCCCGGGGCTGCAGCAGGGGTGCAGGGCGGCCTCCTAGGCTGTGCCCTCGGGCTGGCAGCAGGGGAGAGGCGGGCAGACAATAGTAAACTTATAATAATGAGGCGCCCCCAGGGCTCTGTGTGAGCCCAGCTGGGGAGTCAGGCGCCCTGGGAAGAGCCTGCAAAGCCGGAGACCTGGTGGGAGCGAAGCCGTCACAGGGCCGTCCGAGGAGCTTTCCCAGGAGCTCACGGGCGGTGGGTCTGCCTGCTCTGACTTGTCCCGAGACTAGAGGATCAACATGCAGCCTGAGAAAATGCCTCCGCACAGGTGCCGACCTGAGACTCAGCTTTGCCAGGGTGAGCTGGGGCCAGTCCAGCAGCCCGGAGCCTGCCCGCCCCACCCCGTGAGTGAGCGTGTGTGTGCATGTGTGTGCGCGCGTGTGCATATGCATGTAAGTATGTGTGTGCATGCATGTACGTACATATATGTGCGTGTGCGAGTGCATGTGCATGCGTGTGCTGTGCGCATGTGTGTAGGTATGTGTGCGCGCGTGTGCGCACGTGTGTGCACGTGTGTGTGTGTGTGAGTGCCCACACACAGGGGAGTCGCTGGGCGTCTGGGAACTCCCCTCCACTCCAGACCTAGCCACCGGCCCTTGGCTGGGCCCCGTCCCTCTCTGCAGGGAAAGCCTTTGGAACAGGAGACCGCCTGTGGGTCACCTTCTGTCAGCAGTGACACCCAGCACTCAGAAGACACCCACTGTCAACCTTGGCCAAGGCGCTCTGGTCAGTTCCGCCCACGCGGGCAGCTATGCACTCAGGCAGGCAAGGCGTTCACCCCCAAACTGGGTCAAGCCAGCCAACTCCAAAGGGAACTGGTGTGTGGGGCAGGGTAGGCACAAAGGGACAAGAAGAGGCAGAGGTCAGAGGAGCGGGCCGCCGTCTGACCATCCTCAGTGGGCAACCTGCACGGCACACAAGAAACACGCAACTAGGCCTCAGGCTGGCGGCCACACCCCACCCTCCTCTGGGGGAGGAGATGACATGGTGCCGTGGAGGGAAGGCTGGACCCCCCGGGCCCCCCTGGTCCTCAGTGATGACACTCCTGGTCGTCACCCCAGACTGTGACGCCGGAGAGGCCACACGCTTCCCCGGCCCAAACCCAGCGCATGCGCCGTCCTGCTGGCGAAGCTCAGGGCTTGCTCTCCTGCCCTGGCCAGGGGTCGGGGGGCGCTGCCCACAGGGGCCGGGGTGCCGGCTGTGCTGCGGGAGGGCAGGTATGGGGGAGGCAGCGGCCCCGCGGGGCAGCATTTCTCAGCCACAGCCGCGTCGTGCACCCCACCTGGTTCCTGTGGCAAGGGCTGCTGGCGGGCTGGCGGTGGCCAAGCCAGCCGTGGGTGAGTCTCCCGCCCTCAGGACCTCTGCTGTCACTTTGACAAGCGTGAGCAAGGGCTCCTCTCGGCCGGGCACCATCCCCTCCTAGTGCACAGGGGGCCTGGGCTCCCCTCCAAGGTGCAGACGAGCCCTCCCAGAGCAGGCGGCCCGTGGCCTAGCTGACGCCTGTGCCCTCTGCCCCTTTTCTTCTACCTGCCTGAAACGACAGGGGATTGTGGGCTCGGTGGGCTGGGACTTCTGCAGCAGAGGGAGACTCGAGGGCCAAGAACAGACCTCAGGAGCCAGACGGCCTGGGTTGAGCTCTGCCCATGTCAACTGCCCGATGGGTGGCCTTGGGCTTGTGCGTCTTGGTTTCTTCACTGGTAAAGTGGCATCACTGTGCCCAGTGTGCAGGGCCGTTGGGAGAATTCGGCGCACGGATGTTTGAGAAGTGCTTAGCACAGAGCATGACATAAGTGTCCCTCTGACACTCAGACTGGGGACAAGCTGGCTGCCTCTGGGTCTTGCCAAAGGAGCTGCCGGGTGGGCACAGGAAGGGGGAGGAACCCAGGCAGCCAGGAGGGCCTGGGGAAGGGGTGCACGCTGGCTGCTCTCACCCCATGGCCACAGAACAGCCTCCATGGGTTTCAGAAAAACAGAGGAGACTGGTCCGCCCAGATGGACGGCGTTATGATGAAACAGCCTGGTGTTTCTTTGCGTGGGCGATGTTGGCCTTCGGGCCAGACCATTCTTCACTGTATAGGATGCTGCAAGCATTGTGGGTTGTCTGGTGCCCTGGCCCCCAGGCCCTAAGTACCGGTAACACCTCACAGCCACGCTGACCCGTGAGAACACCCCACGCGCTTCCAAACGCTGCCTGGGGATCCTGAGTAACCGCCGGACCAGACCAGGAAGCGAGGCAGCGCGGGATGGCGCTGGCCGGGCCGGGGCCCGCTCCCGCGCTCAGACAGCAATCTGCTGGCAGCGTCTCTGCTGTGGTTACAAAGGTCACACGCACGCGCGCGCCCCGCGGTCTGGGCATCTCATGCTTCCCTGGGAAACTCTGGCCTCGGGGGCGATGGCCCATGGGACCACAACACGCCAGAGGCGAGATACTTGATGTCCCGAGAGCACAGCCGACCCCTCGGCCAGAGAGCAGGCTGGGCCGGGTAGCCTCAGGGACGCCTGGGCAGTGTGTCCGGAGAGACACATTTCAGCACCTGGAACCATCAGGGAGCCTCCTGGAGCCCCGCCCTGCTCTGCTAGTGACTTTGGTCTTGTAACCCATTTTCTCTCCCTCTCCCCTTCCCTCGTGGGAAAGGGGAATTTTGCCCCCCACTGAGTGCCCTCACCCCTGCCCTGGGCCCTCAATGTAACCTCTCTTTCCATCCCTCCTGAAGCCGGTCCGACAGGGCCACTGGGGCAAAGTAAAGCAACAGAAGCCCAGGACCCGGGGCCTCAGAGCACTGCGTGCGGGCGGCCCCCCGCGAGCCCCCCTCGGTCTGCAGCAGCCAGGGGCGCGCCAGGTGGGCCCGGATGAAAAGAGCCCTTTCTGAAACCAAGCTTCGCCAGGCAGGCAGGGCTGGACAAACCTGCTCTGGGCGGACACGCCCGGACCCTCCTGCCCAGGCGCGCTCAGAGCAGAGTCACGTCCGATGCCCTCCTGTGAGAGCCAGCGCGTGCGCCACTTCACGGGGTCCTCGCCCTCGTGGCCCAGGGAGGGGGCTCCTGAGAAAGGATCCGGACTACAGACGCCTCAGGGACAGACCCCATCGGCCATTTCCCTGCACGTGCCACCCCACTCAGCACCCAGCCGGGCCCCCGGGGCAGCAGGCAGACAGCAAGGCTCCCTCCCCCTGGGAGTGCGGTCGGGGTGGCACCGCAGCAGGTCACAGGCAGCAGGGCGTCTTCCCACGCTGCGTGGTGGCCCGGGGGCCTGGAGGGCACGGGTCCCCTCCCAGCAAGGGCTCCCGGGGGGACACTTAGGGCCCAGGGTGTGCGGGGCTCCCCCGGGCCTGGGGCGGCTGCTCGCTTGGCAGTTTGCATCAGCGTGGAAACCACCGGCCTGAGTCACCAAAGGTGGGACCTCGGCTGGGGGGAGTGCCGGTCCTCGCCCCCCACCCCACCCCACCGCCGGGCACCGCTCCCTCCCTGGCTAGGAGCAGGGGTTCCGCCCTGGGCCGGCCCGCCCCTCCTTCCCTGGCACGCGGCTTCGTGGGGAGCGTGGAGGACAGACGGAGCGGCCCCTCGGCTTGGAGGCCCTGCCGTGTGGGCCCGGAGGAGGCTGTGTGGGTACCCTGGCCAGGCAGTCCCTCAGGGCGGGAGGAGCTGCCCCCGAGAGTCTGTCACCCGCACCCAGTGACCAGCAGTTCCCACCCGGGGGGACCCCGGCTTGCGAACTGGACAACACTGATGGAGGCCCGGCTCCCAGGCTCAGGGGAGGCACCGCAGAAATCTGAAACTGAAATTCAGTGCCGGGGGCTGGGCATCTTGTATCACCTGGATGTTTTTAATATGAAAAAGAAGAAAGTTTTGATGTTCCTTCTGCGAGTAGATTTCACCAGAGAGCTGGTTAATAATGGCACGTCCCTTATCACCTTGTAGGGTCAGGACTGAACTCCCAGTGACCAGGGCAGGAGTAAGAACTGTTGTGGGTAATTCAGAAAAGTTTTCTGAAGTATCTGGACCATGAAGCCCAAGTAGAGAAGAGCCTATGGCGCTCGGACTGCAGCCTGTGGGTCTTTCACGGAGGTGCTGCTCTCTCCAGGGACAGAGGCCACAACTCTGGGGAAAGAAGCCACCTGACCTCCTGGGCTCCAGGCTCCAAGTCTGCCTCTCAGGCCGGGGGCAAGGGTCAGGCCCACCGTGGCTCCTGCTGCTACTGGCGACGGGGCGGGAACGGGGGGCACAAAGTGCGTTTGTGTGCCCCAGCACTTGGCCG